GCCAGTAAAGGGTTACCTCGTATATCTATTTTTGATCTGCACTCACTGGTCCAATGTCGGCCTTTGCCACACCTTCTACATAATCCGGGAGGTGGTTGGGGTCTCCTGTTTAGGCTATTCCTAAAAGGAATATTACTCCTAGGAGTACCCCACGTACAGTTTTTACTTATATGACCTGGTGTACCACATGTAAAACATTTGGTAACACGGGGCCTTCTTTCACCTCTGGGATTTGTCTCTCCTATCCAAGCCTCATTACTGTAGTTACGAGACTCAACACCATTAGTATACTGAATCCATTCTTCCAAAGGAGCTGATCTGATCTTTAATGGTGTAAGTATTCTTCTGCATTCTGCATTAGCATTGTCGAATGCCAAGGACTCAGTTAATACTTTTCTTAATTCTTTATCTGATACAGCTCTTGTTATAGCTGTGTTCAGTCTTTGTAAAAAATCAGTGAAGGATTCGTGTGGTCCCTGAAATATCTTTGTGTATACCTCAGTTGGTTTTCCAGGTTCTGGAATTTTTTCCCAAGCGTTTAGAGCTGCTGTACGGCATAGGGATATTGTATGCTCATCATAAATGGCTTGTACATTCCTGTCAGCAAAACATCCCTCACCAAGTATTTGATCTTGGGAGATCACGAAACCTCTGAGTTTACCTTGTTGTTCTAAAGATGACTATTACACAGAGAGTCTGGATTGTGTTGTCTTTGGGATTCTTAACTACAGAGAGATATTTGATTGTAAAGGAAGCTGAGTTAAACCAGTATGTATATTTTAAAGATACTTTGACTTCAAAATTTGGATGTAAGGATATGTTGCTTTGGAAAAGAGTCTCTTTTGTTTCCACAGAAAGCAAGAGGCTATGGATTTGTTCCAGATTAAGACACATCAGGTTTGACCAGCCAAGACCACCTGAAAGGTCTCCGATGACACCATGGCCCAGATGATCCAACATCCAGAACCGTTTCAAGGCAACTGGCTCAGATGATACAGCCTCACGGACTACTCCATGATCCTAAAATTTTCTTTGTTTCCCCAGAAGATACAGCGCCCCCCTCCAGCAGGAAGTAGTAAGAGAAGCTACGCCCAAATTCCCAAATATACCAAGCTGACTTTGGAGATGTGTAAAGGTTAAAACCTTCCTTTTTAAGAAAAGAAAAGGGGAAGTGCTGTGGGATGGTCTGTATGTCAAATGTGTTGCTGATTGGTCTATGAATAAATCACTGATTGGCAGTGGCCAGGCAGGAAGTATAGGCGGGACTAACAGAGAGGAAAATTGAGAGAACAGGAAGCTGGGAGGGGAGACACTGCCAGCCGCCATCAGGAGAAGGAAGATGTAAAGTACCGGTAAGCCACAAGCCACGTGGCAAGGTATAGATTAATAGAAATGGATTAATTTAAGCTGTAAGAACAGTTAGCAAGAAGCCTGCCACGGCCATACAGTTTGTAACCAAAATAAGTCTCTGTGTTTACTTGATCGGGTTTGAGCGGCTTGGGACTGGCGGGTGAGAGAGATTTGTCCTGATGTGGGCCAGGCAGAAAAACTCTAGCAACAACTTACTGTAACATAGATGTTATTTATTTATTTAAAACACATGCAAGTGAGGTAGGTACTGTATATAACTTATCCTTGGAATAACAAGATATTTTAAGTAAGAGTTATGTTTTTATATGGTGAATTTCTTTTTTAAGTTGTTTGTGTTTTAAAATGTTTGCATTTTCACTTAGTATAATGAGATAACAAGACAAAGAATTGAATACATCTGTTTTATAAATATTAATTTAATAAAACAAATATCACATGTGCTCTCTCTTCTGTAGTTCTAGCTACAAATCTTCAGACATGAGAATATATCCTAAAGTAACTGCAGAACCAGACAAGTAAATAGGGACCATGAATTTGAAAGGAAACAAGTAGAAATAACATAATTACATTTTAATTTAAAGTAAATAATATATTTAATTTAAAAAAATATCTAATTTTAAAAAATAAAAATTATTAATTTTTTTAAACCCTTAGCCTCATAATAAATTACAGGTGTTCCTGAGTCTGAGAAGCTCCTGGGATCTAAGGTTGGAATGCCGGGCTTGCAATCATCCTACTTGAATGATTCCTCCTCTTGCCTGTACTCAACACCTAGGTCACTACACACTTCACCATCTCTTTCTCAAATTTTCTTGGTTCTAAGCCAGTACTAGCAGCTCCTAAAGCAGTAGTTCTCAACCTTCCTAATGCCATGGCTCTTTAATATAGTTCTTCTTGCCGTGATGACCCCCCAACCATAAAATTATTTCTTTTGCTACTTCATAACTATAATTCTGCTACTGTTATGAATTATAGTGTAAACAGCTATTTTTGATAGTCTTAAGTGACCCCTGTAAAAGGGCTGTTTGAACCCCAAGAGGGTTGTTTGACCCCCAAAAGGGGCATGACCCACAGGGTGAGACCCACCACACCTAGAGCCTGCACCACAATTCCTATTTATGATAGTTGGTTGCACCTATTAAACCAGCCTCTCAGAGCCACCGGAGGGAATTGTCATGCCCCAAGCTCCATTCAGTCACTTCCTCCTTCACTCTCACAGAGGGGAAGGTCATCTTAGGTATCTAAACTGGGAGCATACGGCTTATTCTTCATGGAGTTGGGTGAGAAAACACAGAAGACAATGTGCAGTATGGGAATAATACTAGGGAAGGAAAGATAATTAAAGAAAGGCAAAAAGAGATTGGGCATTCTAAACAGAGAGCATATACATTTGAAAGCAAATATTTCTAGTCTTGAAAATGTAACTATTTCAAGATGAATTATACTCTTAGAAAAATCTGTTTAAATTATGATGTAAGGCAGGCATTTCTTGACTTCCAAAAGGGTTGCAAGACAATCAACGTATTTTTTTTTTTTTTTTGGTTTTTCAAGACAGGGTTTCTCTGTGTAGCTTTGCGCCTTTTCCTGGAACTCACTTGGTAGCCCAGGCTGGCCTCGAACTCACAGAGATCCGCCTGGCTCTGCCTCCCGATTGCTGGGATTAAAGGCGTGCGCCACCACCGCCCGGCTACAATCAACGTATTTTAAACTGAATGCCATTTAAAATTTAAAATATATGCTATAGAAGCTAGGGAGATGATCAGTAGGTGAAGTGTTTGTGTGGTAGCTCAAATGAAAAGGCCCCCATAGACTTATATATTTGAATATTTGATCCCTAGTTGGTGGAACTGTTTGGAAAGGATTGGTTGTAGCCATGTTAGAAGATGGATGTCACCGAGGGTGGGCTTTGAAGTTCAAAAGGTTTCAAAAGCCCAAGCCATTTCTAGTTAACATTCTCTCTCTCTCTCTCTCCATATATATATATATATATACCTGCCTTCTGTTTATGGATCAGATGTAAGCTTTCAGGTTCTGCTCTAGTGCCATTCCTGACTGCGTGCTTTTATGGTCCCCACTATGATGGTTCTAGACTCACACTCTAAAATTGAAGCCAGAATAAATTCTTTCTTCTATAAGTTGCCTTGGTCATGGTGTCTCTTCACAGCCATTGAAAAGTAATACTTCAAGCCTGAAGATAGGAGTTCAGATCCCGGAACCCATATAAAAGCCATGGGTTCCATCATGCATCTGAAACTCCAGAGCTAATGGGATGAGACAGGTGAATCCTAGGGATTCGCTGGTCAGCCATTCTAGTCAAAATGGTGAGTTCCAAATTCAGCAAGAGGTGCTATTTCAAAAATTAAGGTAAAGGGAGAGAGTGAGATGCAGACATCTGACACTGACCTCTGACTTTCCAGATGCAATGAGACCTGTGCACCTCCCCTCAACCATAAACACACAAACACACAACACACACACACACACACACACACACACACACACACACACACACACACACAATTATATATGCCATGCAACTAGCCTATTGAACAGCACTACCTAGCCACTCAATATCCTGTAGTGTCCATTGTTTGCTGGGTGTAGACAAATTTCTAAACAGTCTTATTAAATAAGAAACACAGAGCCAAATACAGAATTAAAGCCAAAGAGAGCAAGAGCCACCTAGCTTTAGTTTACCACCAGCAGTAGCTTCCCCTGAGAGAGACCTTCTAATGTCTGACTTGTATTTTTATTGTTTTCCTGTTCTGCTTTCTCATTGGCTCTAAGCCCAGCCACATGACTTCCTCATCACTACCTGTCCAAACAGACCTCCTGGTCTCTTTGGTTAGTACTGGGATTAAAGGTTCCTGTTAACATGCTTGACTGTGTCCTTGACCACACAGAGATTCTGCCTGCCATGTGATCAGATTAAGGGTGTGGGCTACCACCGCCTGACTGCTGTCCCTGGCTCGCTATGACCTCTGATCTCCAGGCAAACTTTATTTATTAACATACAAATAAAATCACATTTCAGCACAATTAAAACATCGCCACAGCTGGGTCATCAGGTGACCAGTGCTATGTCTAAATACTGCTACCACCTAATATCTTAAGAGTATCATGCCACAACTTATCCAGAAAAGATCATTATTCAAAATCTGAAATACAGTTTCTACAACATACATATACCATCACACTCTCACAAAGTCAAGATATCCTAAGTCAAATCATCTTGAATTACAAAACACAGGTTTTATTCTCTACTCTTCTCCAGTATTTACACATATTTTAATTAACCAATTTTATATTTTAATTGACACACAATATTTGTACACATTTGTAAAGAACAATGTGAAGCTTTACTTAATGTATGTATTAAGTAATAATCAACTCATAGAAATCAGCATTTCCAACACACTAGGCAGTAATCACATTTTTCTTTTTCTTTTTGATATTCTTCCCTCTCTTCCCTCCAAATACTCCTATACCTTTGCATGCTCTTCTTCAAATTCATAGCCTATTTTTCATTAATGTTATTCATGTATATATATATATACATATATATTTATATGTATAGATTCCCAATTATAACCTGCCCAGTCTGTAAAATGTGTTTGTATGTTTTCAGGGCTGACAGTTTGGCATTGAACAACCAATTGATGTGCTCTGGCCTGGAAAAGACCACTTCTCCCACTCCCAGATTTCCTCAGTTGCCTACAGTCCTTTATGTAGGGTTGAGGCCTCATTGGTTTTTACCTATCCACTTTGGTATATTCATTGGTGTCATTAGGGGAAAATTTCAAAATAGTTGAAGACATTTTACTATGAAAAACGAAGCCTGGAGTTTTTGTGGCACTGCTCAAGACAAAGGCTGAGGCCACAGGCAGTAGGACCAATAGACAAATCATCTCATTTGTATTCAGGATAGGTCACAAATAGACAAGGCTGGTGTTAGAAACTATATGAAAATTTCCAAATCTGGGACTAGACAGATAGCTCAGTGATGGCTTCTGCTCTTTCACAGGACTGATGTTTAGCTCCCAGCACCCATGTGGGACTTAACAACTATCTCTAATTCTATGTGCAGGAGTTGATGCCCTCTTCAGTCCTCCACAGACACTAAGCAGCCTGGCAGGCAAAACAATCACACACATAAAACAAACTTCTTTTTAACTTAAAAATTCAAAGTCCCTTCAGATCAGATATGGTATAAAATGAGACCACCCTATGGAAGGGTAGAGTATAAGAGATTTTAAAAAATAGGGGGAGGGGAGTATCTAGTGAGCAAGTGAAAGGTACATTTGCCAAAAATAAAAGAGTTAAGATGCTCAGGATAAAGTGCTCCACACCAAAACCACACATTTCAGACCACTGTCTGTGTTTTGCCCAAACTCTGCCTTCGTGGCACAAAATCTAGGCAGGGCTCTCCAACACTGAGTTAGACAGGAAAGGACTCAGTGTCCTTTACAAATCCTGCAGATTTTTTTCCTGCATGTCCTGAAAACTTGTTTATATCTTGTCCATAGCAATTTTTCCTTTAAAGTAGCAATAAAGAAAGGGATTCGTAAGTGAATGCTTTTCATGCTGCCTATGATGTTTGTAAAATCAGAGTCAAAAGTTATTTAGGGTTTAAATGTTTAATTTATTTCCAATACAAAAACTATTTCCTATTTTCCTATTATTTATTAACAATTCTAAAGGCACTGAGTACCTCTTACAACCTCCTTAGCAAGTTCTGGATTCCCTGCTTGATCTCTTTGGTTCTTACTCCATAAACAATGGGATTCAGAGCTGGGGGGATGAGGTGATGCAGGATGTTGAGAAGGATGGGAACATCCGGGGGAATCCTCTCCCTGGCCAGGTTTGTGATGACCAGCACCAGCAGGACTGTGCTGAAGAAGAGGATGAGGATGAAGTGGGAACCACATGTGCTCAGGGCTTTGGCCACAGCTCCCTCAGCTTTGATCCTGAGCACAACACTGAAGATAAAAGAGTAGGAGAGAACAATGAGGATGAGGTCAGAGCCCAGCAGGGTCCAACCTGCTACAAGCTGGTATAGTTTATTGAAGGTGATGTCATCACAAGAGAGTTTGGATACAGACAAGTTGGTGCAGATGCAGTTCTTGACAATGTTCTGAGCACAGTACTTTAGTCTGGCAGAAAGAATAGGGACAGGAAGAGAAAAAAATGTATTCCTGCTTATAATGAAGATGGCAGCTCTAGCCACAAATTGGTCAGTGATGATGGATGGGTACTGCAGAGGCTTGCAGATGGCCACATAGCGATCATAGGCCATGACCATGAAGGTGCAGGACTCCATCGTCAGGAAACTGTTCATGATGAACATCTGGAGGAAGCAGGCAGAGAAGCTGATGGATTTGTTGTCAAACCAGAAAATGGCTAGGACCTTAGGTATGACAGTGAGGCAGAGCACAATGTCCAGAAGGGAGAGAAGGCTGAGCAGGTAGTACATGGGCTCATGAAGAGAGGCCTCCATCCTGATGGTGATGAGAAGGGTGGCATTGGCCCCCATGGCCAGGAGGAAGAGGAGGCTGAGGGGCAGGGACAGCCAATGCTGCCAGGTCTGGTAGTTAGGGAAGCAGATGAGGAAGAATTCAGAGACTGGAGCTTCAGAGTTGTTGCTGGATAATGCCATGGAAGAACTGCCAATCAAGCCAGAAATCCAGAGGTTTGTATACTGAAGGAAGTGAATGGACATAGAAAAGATATGTTCTAGAGAGAGTAGGACTCAAGTTTCCATCATGCTTGAACCTATCCAGTCAAGTTTTGAAATCACTATCATTATCACCATTACTTATCAAAAAGCACTGTGTTGAATACTTTATGTTAATTATATTCATTTTCTTCTTTTAAAAAATACTGAAGGGGTTGGGGGGATGGCTGTCAGTGAAAGGCATCCAAAAGCAACCTTGGCTCCCCAAGCACACACAGGCAAGCACATCGGTGCAAACATACACACAGGCATGCATTTTAAAAATATTTTTTAAAAAGAAAAGGATTTAAGCATTCGTTATTCTGGCCATTCCTACTGATCAATGCCATTGACCAAGGTAATGTGGGACAAACTGAAGAAATAGGAAACAAAGTCTTCAGTGCCATCACAGTACCAAAGATGACTTTCTGTTTTAGTTTTTATGGCAGAAAGAATGAAATATTCCTGAGAAATGGGGATAGGAGAAACAAGGATAATTAAAGGCAAGAAAATGAATTGGTTATGGGCAGAGAAATTTTTTGTCTTTTTTATTGAAAATAGATTTTTTTCATATAATATATTCTGATCATGGTTTCATATCCCCCAGCTCCTCCCAGATCCTCACCCACATTCTAACTCACCCAAATCCACACCCTTTCTTTTTCCATTTCTATCTCTTTTTAGAAAACAAATAGGGAACTAAAATAACAGACAAAAAATAGATAAGGACAAAACAAACGGGAAAAAGAGCCAATTAAAAAGCACAAGAAACACAGACAGAGACAGAGACACACACATTTGCACACAGAGAAATTCCATGAAAATACAAAATCCTAAAAAATTTGCAAAGTATCCAGAGAGTTTTCCAATAGTCATGCAAACTGTAATATGCCTGGAAATGAGAATATTCAAGTTTTCAAATGAAAATGTGCTTCTTATTGTATTGGGAAAAGTTAAATAAAGGAGTATTGGCATACAATATGTTAGCAGGCAAACAAAACACGTTTGAAAGTCTAAACTCTAGACTAAGAACTTTCAGGTGGGGTTGATAACCATGATGTCAGAGGAAAAGGACACAGCACTGGAGAACACTGGAAAGGACCCTTCTATGGGACAGTGAGGATTGCAGTGACAGGTACAGAGCGTCTGGTTTCCCTCCACCGCTCTTCTCTCATAAGAATGTTTCCATGCTTGAAACCAATAATGAGAACTATCCACATGACAGTACTGTGACTTTCTGTTAGGTACATGGGTAACGGAACAACACAGAATAAAATAGCAAGAAGTTGGATCTACCAGAGAAGATATGTGCGTATGTGGGGCACCAGCCACAGTACCATTTTCATGAAGTTGGATGAAAGCCAGTGTCAAGTCAACTGGATACAAATGGCTTTTCCTAAAGATAAATTATAATACATATTTATGTATATATGTATATATATATATATATATATATGTACACACACACACACACACAGACACACACACACACACACAAAGAAAGAGGACAAGCCAGGCAGTGGTGGCACACGCCTTTAATCCCAGCACTCGGGAGGCAGAGGCAGGAGAATCTCTGTGAGTTCGAGGCCAGCCTGGTCTACAAAGTGAGTTCCAGGAAAGGCACAAAACTACAGAGAAACCCTGTCTTGAAAAACCAAAAAAAAAAAAAAAAGAAAGAAAGAAAGAGGACAAGAATTTGAGAGAGAAGGAGGGTGTATGGAAGGGGTTGGAGGCAGAAAGAAGAAAGGGAAAGGATACAATTATATTATAATTTCAAATAATATTATGAAATATATTTTAAAAAGAAATGGCTTTTCCTTTGAGATAGGAGAAAATTGGTGTGTTTATAGAAATTTTCAGAGATCAGTGGACGTCTTTCTATTTTGATTTGTCTGAAGAGTGATTTCCCAGATGGCTTATTCTTCAGAAAACAACACTGTTGCTTTGACTCCTAACAAGGCTGGATGTGTTACTGGTCATAGGGCAGACAATATTCTTTTTTTTTCTTTTTTTTTGCTTTTTTTTTTTTGATACAGGGTTTCTCTGTATAGCCCTGGCCATCCTGGAACTCATTCTGTAGACCAGGCTGGTTTCAAACTTAGAGACCTGCTGTCTCTGCCTCCTGAGTGCTGGGACTCAGATTGTGTCATGCCCAGCTCAGATAATGTTCTTGAATAACATCCTTGAAATGGCTGTTCTCTTTCAACAATGACCCCATTTTAGTATCTCTTCTTCATTCTACCCTTCGAAACACATTTTATCTTAAATCTTTCAGAAATGTATTCCCTGTATCTAGTTATGGGTCTCATAATGATGTTTCATTCAAGTGGAGAAACCTGTTTCTTTGAGCATATCCATCCTGGCACGCTCTCTTTTCTTCCCACGTCTCACTTCCACAGTAAAGCTTTCCTAGCAGAGACAGAAATTCTCCAGTGTCTTAGAGACTGTAACCTCTTGAGGATTAGAACTAAGTAAAAAAAAAGTAACCAAAACTTGAGTTGACATCTACCCAAGAAACAGTGGAAGCTCACTAGTAAGTGTTAGGCAAATGGCTGCATAAGAAGCCATTTTCCTGGTAAGCGAAATTGCCGATACTTCCTTATACACAGGATCCAGTCATCCCAGAAAGTAGGATTCACGTTTTAAAATCTCACCTGTTGGGATTCTAGTTGTTTCTTTTACAGATAAGACTCTGGAACTAGGCTGTGCACCAGTTCCTGTGTCAGTATGTACTGTTTCTGCGCCCATGCTAAGGGGACCTGAATCAGAATTCAGCACCTTGCAAGTGTATCTGATTCTTCGGTCAGACAACGTTTTTGAACTGTGTCCAATTTATTGAAGATTATACATGGGATGAGGGAATGGATTGTATATTACATACCCTTCGGTAAAATATATAGACGATCTTAAAAGCCTGTCAGATCTCAGAAGCACCTTCTAGGCAGCATGGCCAGCAATGGCTGCAACCTTTTGCCTTGTATCTATCTTCTCAAGTGGTGCTCCCTGATATTGGGGACATTAAGATGCTTTCTCTCACCTGCATAATCCACAGCATCGGCCTCAGTATTGGCAAACTCATCATAAGTATACGAAGATCTAAATGTCCTTAGTTAAAATGAACTCTTGTACTTGCAAGGAAAGCCCAACTGTCATGTCGATTTCTAGAACTCAGATTGTGCTGCCATATTAAAAAAAAGCATCATTTAAAAGGAAAACTTGTAACCTGGGACAGTCCTGAGTGGGGATTTTTTTTTCGGTGAAAAGGGCAAAATCTTCATACTTTTAATGTGTCAAGTTCACATATAGCCTTTAGCTAACCCTGCACAGGGGATAAGTAGAACTGCCTAAGATTGGAGACCTCAGATCCCTGCACAGTTAAGATTAGCAATATAGGTGCTGGAGAGATGGCTCAATGGTTAAGAGCACTGGCTGTTCTTCCAGAGGACCTGGGTTCAATTCCCAGCACCCACATGGCAGCTCACAACTGTCTGTAGCTCTAGTTCCAGGGGATTTGATACTCTCACACCAATGCAAATAAAATAGAGTAAAGTAAATTATTTTTTAAAAGATTAGCAATATGCACGGCATGCAAGTAAAAGAAGACTCTTTTTCTAACTTCTTTCTTTTCTTTTTGGTTTTTTTTTTTTTTTTTTGGTTTTTCGAGACAGGGTTTCTCTGTGTAGCTTTGTGCCTGTCCTGGATCTCGCTCTGTAGACCAGACTGTCCTTGAATTTACAGAGAGAGATCCGCCTGGCTCTGCCTCCCGAGTGCTGGGATTAAAGGCGTGCGCCACCACCGCCCGGCCTCTTTTTCTTTTTTATTTCCTCCTGGTTTCTACTGTTTAAATTTGATGGGTTAAATTTTCAGAACCTATTTCTTACTTCCTCAAATATAAGAAAAAAAATTTTTTAAGTTAAATGCACAATGCCTGATAGATAAGAGATACCCCTGTAAATGCTAAGTAAGAATGATTAGACAAAGGCTATGAGTTTAAGCATTTGTAATAAAAAATAATAACCATTTCCAGATTTCATTTAATTACAATAATGAGTGTCAGAAATGAAATCTGATTGCTCAGTTTCAAAGGGGCTTCAATCTAGTGTAGGTCTAGCTACAAATGAACAGGAAGCGTTAGACACTAGCTAATCAGCTAAACTAGTGAGCTTAGACCTCCTAGTCAAGCTCTTCCCCCATCCAAACTCTGCTGGTCTTGTTACAGCCCCCACCCTAAAACAAAAAGTTTAGAGTAAAAAATTATCAACAACATGCAGATTTGATGAGGGTGTGTGCCTGATAGACTTTAAAATAAATAGGAGTGAAATATAGAGCTGAAACTGCCTGTGTTTTTTGTTATGACAAAGGAAAATATATGACCTATGTGGAGTGTAAAATTGTAGCTTCCTGATTGTTCATTAATGAGGAAAGGGTGGTAGGGTCATGTGTCCAGGGTTATATTATATATATTATATATATCCCACTCCTGCCCTCTGAGGCTAACATACAACTTGGCAAATTTGTAAAATAAACTGCTTTACCTTTGCTGCTCTTAGTCTGCAGTGATCTCATTACGAAGTCAGGATCTTTGTTTCTCGCAACAGCTATTTCTGGTATTTATTACAATGTAGTTAGAACATAAATTCAATTTACTTATTCTTTTATCATAAGAATGCTTCTGTGATTTGCTGACATGGAAAATTTGGACTTTGATAGTTTTTTGTTTGTTTGTTTGGTTGGTTGGTTGGTTTTTGATGGGCCACCATTTTTGTTTCCCTATGATTAAATAAAAAACCAATTGGCCAAGCACTAAGAAGGGTAATGGCAATGACAGTGGTCAAAGAAGAAGGAGCCAGGGACCTGTGGCAAGATAAACATCACAGAGCCATGTAGTCAGTGTGACTGGAATCACTGGTCCTGCATGCCTGCCCCATTAGACTCATGGATTCAGTGGGTTGTGGTGTATGTGAGAAGACATCAAACTAGCTGCCAGGGAAGATGATGGAAACAATTGCTTGATTTAAGGACTTTCATTTTGAGTATCCCAGGCTTTCAAAATGCAGATGATATTAAACATCTTAGGAAAGAAAGGTAAATATGCATTGTAGGACTTTATGACAAATCAAAGATTGAGGGATTAAAAGTGAGGAGGAACTATACAGTAGACTTCCTTTTTGACCTGTATTTGCATATGCAAGCATTAAAATGACTGTCAGTGTTAATCTAAGAGATAAGATGGA